GAACCTTAAAGGTCTTCGAGTCCAACCCCCTGCTTAGCAGGAAACCCTACACCAGACAAATGGATATCCAATTGTCTGAATATGGTATTATTCAGACAAGTGATATCCATTCTCTTCCCCAATTAAGGGCTGCACTGATTAATTTCTTCTGCTTGATCAAATATCTCTGGCTCACCTGCCATTGGCCCAGCAATGGTCTCGTCAAATCCTACAGCCAATGAAAAGTCCAAGAGAAAAGGGTGTCTCAGCTGATCAGCATCCATTTATTAGATGTGGGGGGGGGGGGGACGGGGACATGTGGCCATATTCACCAAGATCTTAAAATAATTATTTGAATCCTAGTTGTGTAACCTGAGAACCTGGGACTCCTGAAAGCCACAACTGCCACTCGGAGACCTCTACAAAAAAGTGAAATTGTAAGATTCTTTGGGGACATAATGAGAAAATTATTAGAAGTATGGCTGGAGAGGATCAGATCTACTATATCTATTTCTAATTAAGTCAATCATCATTTGTGCATCCCTCACTGTCAAGCAGCTCTCTAAACTTTAAACTTAATGTTTCCAAACCTTGGCAACTTTAAAGACGGGTGGACTTCAACTCCCAGAATTGCCCAGCCAACATGGAAGTTCAAGTCTGCGTAACTTAAAGTTGCCAAGGTTGTGAACCTCTGCTCTAAACCTTTTTTTTTTAACCAGAACAGCTTACTTACCATGAAGATATGATGGAGTGAACGAAAGTGCCAGGCTTCAGAGGCATCCGCCACAGAGCTTAGCTTTCCATTAGGGAGGGCCTGGTAACGCCGAGCCGATCGAGAGCCGTAACTTTCTGTGCAAAGTGTCTGAATTTCCATGTCAGACATGACTGGGCCTGAACTTTTAAAAATATGCAGCATTAATCAAGTGCCATTATAACTCAGAAAAAAATGTGATCATTGTCTAACTAGATCAGAGGTCTTCAAACTTGACAACCTTAAGATTTGTGGGAATTGAAGTCCACAATTCTTAAAGATGCCAAGTTTGGGGACCCCTGAACTAGATCATGCAAGACAATATTTTACAAGATCCTTTCCAAAAAAGAGGCTAATCTCTCAAGCAATCTGGAAAGTTTGCATAAATATACATATAGATATCTACATACCCTCATATATAAAGTGCATGTTTCTATGTATTTGTTTTTATTTACTTTTTAATATTGTTAGGCATACTGAGTCAGAGATGGGTAGCCATATAAAACAAATAAAGAAATAAAAGCTAAAATCTTCCCACTTGTGGTCAATGCCTTTAATTGGATAATTTTCTATCTAATTTTCTATATAATTTAATTATATAAATGGTATGTTCGTGGTTGCACCTATTTTTTTTTATAACAGGGAAGGAGAAGTGGAAAGTAAATAGATCAGTGTTTTTAAATCACAGCAATCTTAAGATGTGTGGACTTCAACTCCCAGAATTCCCTAATCTGGCTGGAGAATTCTGAGAGTTGAAATCCACATATTTTAAAGTTGCTGAAATTGAACAGCATGTGGTTATGTTGCTGCACCCTTCACCATTGGTCACACCATTCGAAAACTGCTAGAAGTTGTACTTTAGCCACCCCCTAAAAGATCTCACTTAGTCTTTTGGAAGTGCACAAACAAAGGATCAATGTGACAATTATAATATTCAACACAAACAGGCATTTTCAGCATCTGGTTTCTGAACACACATATCCAAATCACAGTTTTGTGATTTTTTTAATTACACTCCGGAACTCCAATGTGGTAGGAAGATGCCTCATCTTTCAAATATGTGGACTCAGTAAATTGTTTGGAGAGGGTTATAAAGAACCATATATAAGTCTTAAGTGCTGCTGCTATCTTGAGAACTCCATTTAAATAAAAAACATTAATGACGCGTCTCTAAAGGTTTCATCCAGGCATTCTAAATCTATTTACCTTGAAGATCCACTGAACTTTAATAAGACTTGGAAGGAAAAATGTAAATAAATGCACAATAAAATGCATTCAGATATATTGCATGCAACAGCTTCCTCCACCCCCTAAAGACCGTAAAAGCTTTACACGTAAAATGTCGGTTTCCCAAAGAATCGTGAAAGATAGGAAGAAAAGAAGAAAAAAACCTTTTGCAGAAGTGATGAAGACGACAGTCCGCGTCTTTCCTGTTTGAATTTGAGTTGGGAACCCAGAAGAAGTTAAAATATAGCCAAGCAATGCAGTTCCCTTCCCCTAAAGAGACATTTCGCCACGTCTTTAATTCAGAAATGTAGCCATAAAAGCGTCTCCAGCCGGCAGCGTAGACATTGCTTTCGTCCAGCGGGGGGAACCAGAGAACGCGGCCAAATTGTAAACCCGGCTTCATTTAAGTGTCGCGCCTTCTTCTTTTAGAGATCTCTGGGAAATGTAGTCTTCTGACTATCCGTTTAGTTTAGTTGAAAAACTTGAATTATGACTTCACATCTCTATATATAATTTTCTTTTTTTTTCCATAGCTACAGATGAGGCTGATGGATCAAAATTGAGAGTAAAGGAAGAAAACTCCGTTAAAAGTGTATGTATTAAACATCCCTAATAGATGCTTACAACAAAGAAAAGCATTGGCACTTCACATTTAAAATATTTGAGACAGCTTTTAAGGGTCTCAGAAATCCACATAAAAAATAAGCCTAATATAAAAAAATCTAACAAACATCCATTAAGTGAACCCAGATCTGATGTGGAATAAATTGAAGTCCTATAAAAATGAGCTTGAAACCATATGCTCATTTAAAAAAAAAAAAGTTGATCCTGCTATTCAGGCACCTTTTTCTGGTGACTTTTTTTTTTTACCAGCTCCAATTGTATCCTCATTCTAACATTTAAACCATCAGTTTGGTGTTGTGATGGTACTGAAGTCGAAGAAGACCCTGCTCAAATCCCCCTTCATCCATGAAAACTCACTGGGCGACACTCAGAAAATTTGTTTTTTGGTTTTTTGTAACGGAATCTATCTCATAGGGTTATTGTGGTGGGGAAAAATAGGGGTGAAGGCAAATATGTGTGTCCCAGGCTCATGTTGCAGGATCCAATCTGGGTCGGGCACTGGGGTCAGATGTTTAATCTTCCAAGCTTTCGGACTCGTGCTGGAGCCCATCCTCAGGGAACTTTTAACAGAATGTCTAACATAAATAAGCTCCCTGAGGATGGGCTTTAGCACAAATGCAAAAACTAAACCTTTGATCCTGGGAACCGATCCAGATTGGATCCTGCAAAAATAGGGAGTGCTGTGTACGCAGCATGCAGCTCCTGGATATAAGCTATATATAAAATAAATGCAGTCATCTCATAGCAGAGTGCTAGACCCTCTTCTTCCCTCTCATATTTTGCATATCTTTTCTAAACCAAACACCTGCACGCGCACAGACAAAATCCTTCCAATTGCTGTGCCTCTCCTTGGTCTTCAGGAATGGCTCCCTTTGAATTCCATTCCCCCCCTCCCCAATCTTTCTCTCACCCAAAATGCTAATGTATGTTTAGGAGGGGCTGTTGCCCCCAGAAATTGCATCCAAAGATACCCATGCCTCTAAATGTTCTTCCAGAACAGGATGACCCCCTCTCCCCACTTCTAAGGCAAGGATAGCTCCTGGCCTTCTGGATTACATAAAAATGTAGTTTTAGGATTTGGGGATTGTATGCTGTAGAGGAATATTAATTACAATTTTTGTATTGAATTTCTGTCATTGCACCTTAATAAATTACTGCATTGGCTGCAAGAATACTGCTCTTCAGCTCCGCATAGAGTCGCCTTAGCTAAAGCTCTTCATAGATCTGCGAATAATTAATTCTCCAATGAGCAGGACACGGTGCACAAATGAAACACAGACACTTAGGTTTAGATGAACAGAGAGGAATCTTGTAGGAGCAGACAACCTCTGTGTTTATTTTCCAAACACTCAAGCAGTTCTTGAAATTCTTAAAAAATAGAATGCCATTTCCAAGATGGGGCATTAGAACTGCATGGCTGCTGCCAGCAGCCAGCGATAGAGGATCATGTGTTAGATCTGCAAAACGCTAGAAGAGAAACCACCGAATCCCAAGGCAAAGTTGAAGAGCCTCTTCAGGAAAGGCTAAAAGGAAAGTGAGAGCAACGGAGTCAAGTTCTTCAGGATCCAGGGGAAAGGATCCAACATTATCCAAAAAAAAAACAACCAACCTGTGAGCAGCCTCAGGAAAAGAGGGGGGGGGGTACTTTGAGGATAAGGGATCCACTTGAAGAAAGGGCCTCAGGAGTACCTTAGATGGCTATCAAGGGATCCCCAGACTGGAGCCAACAAAAAAGCTGGAACAAGTCCTGGTAGATCTAAGGCTGGTCTTGACAAGGTAAGCCATGAGATGCCCCCACCCGCCACCCCACCCCAGGGAGTCCATGAATGGAAGGGCAAGTGTGGCCAGCTGCTCAGCTGATGTAGATTCGATGGAAGTCATTGGCACCAAAGGCGGCATTGCACTTGGGGCATTTCCGCTGGCGGGTGTCGTAGCGGGTCTTGACGCAGTCGAAGCAGAAGACGTGGAAGCATTTGGTGAGGACGGCGTCCTTCTTGCGCGTGTTGCAGCACGGACAGGTGAGCTTGGCCTGGGGATGTGCACAGAGCAGAGGGGTGAGTGGCTGGGGCATTATTGGGAAGAGCTGCCCTTCCTTTACAAGCCTCCTCCTCCTCCTGCTCTTCTCACCTTGTACTCCTTGATCTCCTCCTGTAGGATCTCATCGGCATCTGCATACACCTCCACTTTGCGCTGTTTTTCCAGTTTGCGCCGAAGGCGAGATATGTCCTCCTGGGGAGAAGATCAGGCACGTCAATGAGTCCAGGGGGAGGGGGGGGGGAGAGCTACCCTTTATTTGTTTGTCTGCTCGTTTATTAAATTTATACACTAGCCATCCCAATCAAGTGACAGGATGGCATATAAAGCAAGGATAAACAAACATTACAACATTAGAAAAACATTAAAACATAAAGACCAACAAGAAATTGGGAACCTGGGTAAACTAGGAACCTGGAGATGAATGGATAAGCTCTATCATGAGACACAAACACACACACCCCATAATAAACCACGGCTGCCTCTTTGGAAGTATCTCCCTGAAGCCATGAGATCTACCGATTTGTTTTACATGCCATGGCCTTCCCCTTTTCCCCCTTGTACCTGAGCTCTCTTGAGGTTGAAAGACTCCTTCTCCTTGGCTGCCCTGTTCTCCGCCATGAAGGTCTGGATCTCCTTCAGTTTAGCCTGCACATGCTCCAGCTGCACCTTCAGGTCTTCTGCCAGCTGGGCTGCCTCCACCGCCTGCAAGCAGAACACGGCATCCAATCCCCACCTGCACCAACATCTAAAGGTTGCTCCCCCTTCAACCCTAGTTGTGAAGGCTCCCCATGAGATCCCATTGATCAGAATCCTATTTCTAGGGCTGTCCTTTTTTCTACTTTCTAAAAATTAATTGGTTTTTTTTATATATATTGGGAGTAATGGGTGCCTCCAGTCACGTCCTAACTTGGCAGCCCCCATGTCGGCTCCTTACCTTCCTCTTGTTGAGCTCCAGGGCCTGGCTGCGTAACGTGAGCTCTTTCTCCACGGTGCCCATATTGCCCTGCAGGACCCGTTCCTTCTCCTCCAGCTTCTGCACGACTAAGAGCTGGGTGTCCACCTGAGGAAAGCAAGCGGACCCTCAAGAGTCAGGCTCAGCCCATGTTTCAGGAGCCACCTGCATTTAGTGGCCTCTTCCTTCAAGGCCCTGACTCTCTCCCAACCTGTTGGGGGTGGGGTGGCTGCCTACCTGAGACTTGAGGGCTAGCACCTGCTCGGCAAGTTCTTCCTTCTCCTCCCGCAGGAGCTTGTGAATCTGGTTGGATTTGATGCGCTCCGACATCAGCTTGAAGTTGGCATCATCCTTCTCACGCAGCTGCTGGTTTAGCCGCATATTCTGCTCTTGCATGTCCTCAAACGCTTGGCCTGTCACGTCCATCTCTGAGAGAAGAGCCTCTTCCTCCTGACCCACAGTAAAAAGAAATACTGGAATGAACTGGAATTTTCCCAGCCCTTACCAATAGCCATATGTGTCTTTCTCTGGCTAGAATGTCTGGAGGGACTTCTGATTAGTTTCTTATAGATGCTAACCACCAGACCCTGAAGGTGGTCCTTCACAGCAACCAGTGGGCCAAATCAACAGAGAGTTTATGGTTATGGGAAAGTTGCAACCGCCCTCAGAGGCTCTCTAGGCTGCTCCTGTTCTGGGGCATTGCTTCTGGCAGCACAAATTCCTCCCCAGAAAGAAATACCTGCTTGGTCGCTGCCAGTTTTTTCTGGAGATGCTCAATTTGTTCCTCGGCCATCTTGATCTTGCGTAAGGCATCCTCATCGGCCATTTTCTTACTCTCTTTCTTCTCTTTCTCCTCCAGTTCACGGATCCTCACCCGCAGCTCTTCCACCTGTCCAAAGAAGTGAGTCAAAGAAAGCAGGGACAACTCCTTCGCTTGAGACCCCTCAGGGAAGAATCCTCCCAGGTATACCTGTAGGTCAAACTAACAAGCCCAACTACAAATGCCATGAAGTTATTTATCTAAAGCACAGCCAACCCTTCTCTGGGGAGCAGGTCCTTTCCTATATGAGGAAGCTATGTCCATTTTCTTCATGAAGTCAAAATGCCTTGCCCAGAGCCAGATCCTGAAACATACGATGGAACTCAAGTGCATGAAACCTGGCAGCTTCTAATGGGGCTGAGCTTAGCAGACCCAGGCACTGGACTGATACAGAGGTCCAGGTCTCCTGTGACAAAGAGTAGGCAGAAGAACTGGGAACTTTATTTCTCTAGACAGGTCCCACCCTCATCTCACCTCGGCTTTGGTCTTCTTCTCAGCTGCCATCAGCTGCACTTTGTCCCGCTGCTCCTTGGGGGCCGACTTGTACATGTCCAAGAGAAGCTTCATCTCCTTCTGGCTCTCCTGAGCCTTTCTGAGAAAGGAAACAGAATCCACATGAAGAGGAGGCCCCTGTTCTACTCCAACCCTCTGCTCTACACCATGTCAGACAAATGGCTGTCCAATCGCTTCTTAAAGACTTCCAGTGAGGGAGCACCCACAACTTCTGTGCTTATGTGCAAGACTCTGCCACTTACAGCCAGCCTTAATAGAAACCATTCCAGCAGCCTTCCTGTGGAGATGATTTCCTGGTTTGGTCTACCTAGTGGAGCTAAAACCTCTTGACAGATTCTCCCCTCCCGCTTGCAATTAATCTCCTTTCTGGACCAACCTTCAAAGTGTGTTAGTTGAGT